AACACTTACCTAAACCACAGTGTGTCTGGTGTCTTGTTTTGTCTCCTACAGAATAAACACATAGAACTACCCTAACCTTCATGGGAGGCATTAGTCATATTAGCAATTTATGTTTAAATTTAAGCTGATTTGGTAAAAATCTAAAGCCCAGTTCCTTGGGAACCTTGGCTTTCTACATTGTGAGTGCTCAGCTCCTGTGGTGAGTGGTTCTGATGCAAGTGATTCAACTCTGAGCCTGTCAGAGTTCACACCTGAAATCACACCACTCAGGAGGCTGAGAGAAGAGACTTGTTGAGAGTTCAAGACCAGCCTAGTGAGTTCCAGGATAGTCTGAGCTACAGAGTGAGACTCTGCCTTCTAAAACAACCACCCCCACCACCCAACAACAACACAGACTAGGGAGAAGGTTCAGTGTTAAGAGCACTTGTTGCTTTTGCAAAGGGCCAGAGTTCACTAGCAACCTCAGGCGGCCATAGAACTCAGACGGGCACATCTGATGAAAGAATGGGTTAGGGCTTGGGTTGGCTGGTGCTGCTCAGTGCTTGATGAATCTTGAGTACTGATTTATGAAGGTCACTTTGACTTTAACTTCTTGCTATTGGCTTTAGCCATAGTACTGGATTGGCCACTGATGAGGAGGGAATACTGGTATTTAATAGCACTTTAAAGGCATAAATTGGGGCAACCCTCTTAAGGGATAACGATTGACATCATGGCCAAGTTATTTTTAAATTTTATAAATAACTTTTATAAGCCCCAGAATCATTAAAATGGCAATAAGAGATTTTAATGGCTTCTTTTAGTTGGTAAGAATTACGTAAAATAACACAATTTGAGTGCTTGACACAGGGGCTGGCATACTTAAATTCTAAATAAATGAGCATTATTGGGTTTAGTTTAATGAAGTGGTGAGCTGGACCCTGTGATTACTTCAGGTCGTGTATGGATGTTTTCTGCTGTCATGTTAACTTTGAAGTTTGGGGAGAAGTCTTCCTTCCCACAATAAAATCTGGAGTTACTATTGTTTGTTAACAAATAGAAAATGTTCATAACTCAAAAGACTTTATTCTCTCTTTTTTCCTTTATCTCTGTGTGTGTGTGTGTGTGTGTGTGTGTTTGTGTGTGTTATGTTTGGTGCTACATGTATGGAGCCTGGAGTTACAGGTGACTATTACTCATCCCATAAGGGTGCTAGACACCAAACTCTGGGCTTCTGCAAAAGTAGCAAGCACTCTTAATCACTGAACTATGTCTAGATCCCTATACATTTTCATATATAAACAAAAACATGTGTTTATATACATGTATATAATACACAAACAGAGAGAGAAAGAGAGGGGGGGGGCATGGGAAAGGAGAGAGAGGGAGGGAGGGAGGAAAGGAGGGAGGGAGAGAGAAAGGGTGGGAGGGAGAGAATGTATTATATTATATGTGTTCTCTCTATTACTGTGCGGTACCTCGTTTCTTTCCCTCAGAACCTCTTCTTCCCAATTAGTCCTGAGAAAATGACACTCCTTCTTTCAGTGACCATTAACAGCCATTTACATTGGCCATGCCATATCTGAATGACAGCATCTCATGACCCCGTCTCTATCCTTCAGCTCTTAGGTCGCTTCTGCCCTGTCTTTCCTGTGCCGTGGAGCACGGTGGGTGGGGTGTGACACATCCCATTTGAGGCCCAGTGCTCATTGGTCACAGATTTCAGCACTGACCAAATATGAGTCTCAGCATCAACCGTCACCCTCTGCACGAAAGGAGCCTCTCAGCCCCAGGCTAAAGTTGCATCAGCCTGTGGCCGCGCACAGAAATATTTAGAAGGCACTTTCAACAACGTGATCAACAAATCCTAACTTACTGGCCTTAATTAACCTTTTCTTCAATTGTTATGACTGTATGAATAAGTAAATGCCCCCAGAAGATTTTCATAGAACTTTGGCTGGCAATCTGAATCTAAGGTGAATGCAGAGCTGTCTCCGTGCTTGTTTTGGCTTAACTCAAAAGAAAGGTTTCCAAGTTTTCATTCCTGTGGGCTTTACCTAACACAAGCAAGAGTGCAAACCAAAGGCACAGCTAATAATCAAATGTGTAACTCAGCAGTTCTGTACCCCAGGGTAAATTTCAGGCTGCATTTAGGTGTCTGCTTCTGGGACAGGGTTAAAGCTAGGACTTAGTTCCTGGAAGAGTAACAGGAACTGAAGGTTCTTCATAACCCACCAGCCCTGTGTCACTGGGCTAGTCCCTCAATTGTGCCCTTTGGATGTTTCCTGGGGTCTGAGAGCAGTGCCTGTTGACATAATAACACAAGACAGTCCAGCACATCAGCTGACCCTGACAGACATAAATGTCCTTCGGTTTTTGTGTTCCTTCCACACTGGTTGCTATGGTACCTTTATTTTAGTATAAACTTGGACTCATATTTCATAGTCCACCTGAATGGCTCAGGTTCACAGTGGAGGTGACTTTTCTCCTGAACTTTCCATGAACTAATAGTTAATATTTAAACTACCAAACTGCAGAAAATGGCAGATGAGGGCCATAAAAATTCAGAGACCCAGTAGCCACGGGGACCTGAGAAACCCGTGGGTTGTTATAATGACTGGACAACCAGAAATATCTTTTTATGATAAAGAAGTGATCCAGGAAGTTGAATAAAGATGCTAGGAAATTAAAAACATTGGAGAATGTAAGAACAGACACTTATTCCAAGAGCCTTTATTATGTACAAGGGAAATGTTTAGAAAAAATTGAGGAAATAAAGAAAAAATAGAAAGCCTCACATTTCAGGTGGAAAATAAGGGGGAAGTTATTAATGATACACAGAAAAACCACAAGTGGGGAGATGACATTAAAATACAGGGCCAGACATCATACATGATAGAGAGTGTCTTTACAGAAGGAATGAAATTCCCCGAGGAAAGTAGATACTGGATTTTCTGTATCTAACACAAAAGCTTTCTAACAAGTGTTGGGATGCGTCTGGTTGTGTCTGACATGATTGCTTTAGTCTCACGCAGTTTTGATCTGACTGTGATTTGCTCCCATGGTACTCATTCTCAAGTCCCCTGCAGCATCACCGCTGATACCACCGTGCTGCTGAGCAGCGACGGACTGTTGTAGGTGGCCACCCTTTCTCTCAGGATATCCAGCATCTCAGCAGGAAGGCGGGCAGGAAGAGATGAGTCTGAACCATGGAGGCTTCTCTCCTTTTGGTTTTGCAGCTGGACCTGGAATCTATGCTGTGTTCCACCACGGGACCGCAGCTCCCTACCTGGACACAGCATCTTCTTATATGATACATGAGAAGTGTTTTGGGGTGATGTGCACATCTGCGTTAGGCTACTCTATACAACCTTACTAACGGTTTAAAAAGACGGAATTTCATTGCTTTGGCAAATGGAGTCTGTGGCCTAGGAATAAGAGTTTTAAATTGAAATCAACTTAGGGGAATACACTTAGGATTTAGGTAAATGGAAAGAATTCAGAGAGGCGACAGGAGCTCTTTGTAGGTTGTCATCACTTGTAAGGATGTGCCATGCAATCCAGATGATGTGACTCATGACTGTGATCCCAACAGCTAAGGGATGTCTGTCGCATTGAGTTCAGGATTAGCCTGGGCTACATACTGAATTTCAGGTCAGTGTGGGCTATAGAGGTGGAAAAATGTCGCTCGCTTTGTGAAACACCGAGTTGAAGATACAGATGAGTTACCTGCAGTGCAGTGTTTAGCACTACTGTCTCTTGCTCTAAGTGTGAGTCTAAACCTGTGGGTTGTGATCCATTTGGGGAGTTGCATTATCAGATATTTATAGGATGCTTCGTAATAGTAGCAAAATCACAGTTATGAAATACATATCAAATTATTTTATGGTTAGGGGTCACCTCAGCATGAGTAATTGTGTTAAGGGGTCACAGCATTGGAAGGTTAATAACATGTGCTAAGATCAGTCCTGCCGAAAGTGTTATATCTCATCTGTGGCTAGAGTACCTCTCACTGTGCCTGTAAAGGCCTATCACTTACTCTCTTAGAATCCATTTACACACCAGAATGGGATATGGGTTCAGACTTGTCAGTCTCCTTAAGAACTTCTTAGAGCATAAATCCCTGCTTTTCCATGCCCCCATGTGTCCATCAGACCCCGATAGCTCTGTATCTGTTTGCCTTTGTTGAGGGAAAATGTTGAACTGTACAAATGTCGTCGATGTCACTGCCAGGGAGAAAGTGTCACCTAACGATAAAAATGTGCCACGTGAGATCTCTGGTGACATATGATATGCACTGCTCAATGGAGCAAGTCGCTGGAGGAGTCTCTGTAGTAGACCTCACGGCTGGCCAGTGAATACTAGCCTTCAAGGTTGATAACAGGAGGCAGACATTGAGAAAAAAGGGTTGGGGTATGAGTTGTGGTGAGCGGGGTGACTTTCCCCTCTATTTCTCAGTCCTAAGTGCTGGTCCCCAAAATGTGTATGGCTGGAAAATGAATTGTCACACAGTCTCTGCTTCGTCTTCTCCTGGTTGAAGACAACCACTGTGACCTGCCTCCTTAGGAGTCTGAATAGAGGAATCTTTCACTCCTGGGAGAGTTGAACTTCTTGGATGAAGCTTCCTTCTTAAAATTCTGCTCGTCCCGCAGTGGTGCTTGCTGAGGTCTTTTGTTCAGGGTTGGGTCTTGCCCATGCCCTGGTTCTCCTGACTGCCCTTTTTGAAAATTGGTATTCCGTCCCGAGTGCAGAACTAAAGTATAGCTCTGTTCCTTTCTGAATCTCTTGAAATAGGTCTTTCACGGGAGAGAAATAATTGGGTTTCCAGCCAATGAATTGGAGCCCTTTTTTATTCATTTATTTCCGCTTAATTAATAAAGACACAGAATAAAGAAACGGGTGAGAATAGAATAATCTCCCACGGAAGAAGATTCTAAATAATCAGTGAAGGCAGCCCCTCCTTGGGTTGTGGAATCTTCCTGGGAAGCAAGAGAGTAACTTCCTGTTGTTTTGATCCACAGAGTGGCCCCTTTCCAGAGCCACACAGTTGGAAGGAGGGAAGCCACTTAACAGTGGGAACCCAGGTAAGACCCGTGACTGATGTAACCAATCAGTATCGTTGATGTGATGAGACAAAGCCAAGGCGCATAGCTCTGTCTCCTGTGCTTGAGGGGAGCTCTACAGGATGTTCTGAATGCAGTACTCCTCATAAAGGAGTCGTTGGTACAGGCTGGCATGTATATGTTGCCATTTGGATAGGTGCTTTGCAAATATAGTCAAGACGAAGTCAGACTGTCAATATGAACCCCGGTGTAATGACAGCTGTCCCTAAAAGAAGGGGAAAATTTGGAGAAAGTGTGTCCTTTGACAGGGAAAGCCTTCAGACTTGTCAGGGGAAGCTTAGCCTACAGATACTTCTGTTAACAGAGAATCGAGTGAAAGAGCCTGTGTTGTCTTAAGGCAGTTTATAATAAGCTATTTCTCGAAGATCCAAAGAGTCTAATAGAGTCCAAAAGCTAAAGGAAGGGGAGAGATACCTGTCTACAGGAGCCAGGACATATAAGGACTAAGCATGACACAGTACTACAGAGACATGGGGTCAATAGCACAATCAGGTTTTGGCTTTCAGTGAGCAATTGACCCTGGTTGGCTGGCGTTTACCAAGCAGTATGCTAATGTAACATTTACAGTAAGGCAATGGCATATAACAGAGCTGCCTGGACTAGTGTGTTTTATAACTCTCCTGTAAAGCAAAAATGATTTTATATATTTAAGGTTTATTTTTATTATCACAATTTATCTACAGTTTAAGTAGACTTTAATTAAAGTTGTTTGTTTGTTTGTTTGTTTGTTTGTTTGTTTTATGCTGAGGACCAAACCCAGAGACTTGTGTGTGTTAGGCCAACACTCTAACACTAACGTATACTCCTAACCCTTTAAAGTAAGTTTTTTATTTAAGATAGAATACTGCTATGCTGTCCAGGCCGTTCTTGAACTGTCTAGAGCTCAGACAGACCTTGAGTTCTCAGTTTCCCTGTATTCCCAGTCCAGGATTCTGCTTTTAAGTTTAAAGTAAAACCGTTGGTAGGCGGAGTCATAAAGTTTTGGTAGAAATTGGTGGGGGAGTAGGTAGCACATGCCTTTAATCTCAGTACTCAGTAGAGACAAACCAAAAACCAAACCAACCAAACACCCCCCAAAAAACCCCAAAGTTTTTATAGACATTGTTCTATGTCTTAGTTAAAACCATAAACACTGACGACAGACCCCCCCCCCTCAGTTATATCTTTGACTGAGATAGGCATATCTAATCACATTGAAATCAAGATACTCCAAGATCCCCTGTCAAATCCAAGGAAGCACTTCAAATACCAAAGAAGGCCATGGCATTTAGAGAAGGCATCTGTGTGGATACTCACTGGGCTGAGAGCTACTAGCATCATCAGTAACAAGATTGGGTAGGTGAGATTTTTTTTTCAGAGTCATGACTGAAAACTAACACTAGCTGCAATCGAGAATGAAGGAGGGGAACTCTGAATTTGTTGTTGTTTCTATCTAGGATTCTGACACCTTTCTACGATGAATTTAGCTTGTCTGTTTCATCTAACCGTAACCCTGTTTCTCTCCTCTGAGTGGTGTCTCTGATGGAACACCACTTCCTTAGTGATGCTCTCTGTATTTGTCCCTTGTCAGTCTTCTCTTGGCAATCACAAGGAAAGTTCTAACAGCCATGACTTTAGAAACATGTTTCATGCGTCTACTTAAATCAGACACTTGGCAGCTATTGTGATGGCTTTCCCCTGTACCCTCCAGGAGAAGGAAACTGGTATCCTTAACTGCACTTGCAAGTCCATATCTTGACATAGATAGTGACAATGGAAACACCTTCGGTACTGGTACTGGTACTTCCAGCTGGGTGCCACCTAGGCATTCGATTGCGCATATCTTTAAAAGCTGGTAGGAAGAACAGCAACATGGTGTTTCCTTTGGGATGAGAGTTCTGTGCTGGCTATGTTTAGACATCTGAAGCCCCCGTGTGGAATGCCACATGACCACAGTGACAAGTGAGACTACAGCGGCCCAGTGGGATGACTTTCTATATTTGAAATCCAGTTTAGCAAATTGACATCTCTCTGTCCCCTTCTCTAACATTCTCCGACTTGGACAGATCGCTCTTTTAAAACAGAACACAAACCACGCATTTATTAGGCTCCTAGGAAGAACTGAACACGGGAGAGGGGATGCCCGGGGGCTACCACTTTTCATGAAAACCAGCTGCTGCGGTTTTGAAATGCAAACCAGATCAAAATCAGCACAAGGCCCCGGGGTTTAATTTATATTCTGAATGAACCAGCCTGCTGTGAAAGAGCATTTCTTCTCCCTTTCTCTCTTTCTCTCTTTCCTAAAGAAAACTTTTGAAGAAACTTTTGTCCACCTCACTTGATGTTTGCAGCAGCCCCATGAGCTTAGAAAAGAATCCTCTCTGTTTCTGACAGGCTTAATTGACTTGCCACTTGCAGGAGCCACACAGTGGGGGAGTCTTGTGTGGCTAATACCTCACCCCCAGCCGGTTCCCTCTAGCTCTGACTTGCTATTCCCAACATGGAAGGGACCAACCAAGCTGGTACTCTGGAGTCTTCTGTGAGCAAACTGGGGGAGATACTGAGGACTTTTGTAAACTGCCAAATCACTAAGAGCTTGGCAGGGGATGAGGGTGGTGTGGGGTGGGGGGGCTCCTATTATGAAAATCAGTAAACACCTCCTTGATTGGCTTACTCCTGTGCCAAGGTTGTGTGGGACAGACAATAGAAGCGGAAACAGCCACATAGGTACAATTTTAGAAGAAGCCTTCTCACCTAGTACAGGCGTGAATATTCGTGTGTGTGTGTGTGTGTGTGTGTGTGTGTGTGTGTGTGTACATGTGTGCAAGTACATTTATGTGTCCCAGAGGGCGTTTGCATTTGTGCAGATAGAGGGTACAGATCACCCTCAAATGTCATTCTTCAAGTACTGTGTACCTTGTTTTTCTGAGAGCCATTTAACCTTTTACCTAGTACTAAGCAAGCCACAGGGGTCTGGTTCTTTCACTGTCCCTGTGCTGGGATTGTGGACATGCGCCCTTTGTCCTGCTGTCTCGCATGGCTTCACTAGGGTCCCCATGCTTGCTGTGCAAGAACGGTCTGGCTTTAGCTCCCTCTGCAGCACAAAGTGCAAAGGTGAGTGTTCATTCCTAGGGGAGCTGCATCCTGCTGCTTTTTAGTTCTTGGGTGAACTCTTTGTCTGGGTCTTGGAACCAAATTCATACAGGAGCTGAGGTGCAGATGAAAAAACTAAGGTTTTTCAACTTTAAGGCACCCAAGGTTCCTTCATGAATGGAATCAGAAGAATCGACCCACATGTGATGCTTTTGTGCCATTCAGACAGAAGACCTGCAACACTGCAGGAACAGCTGGGCAGGTGTGTGGGACAGGGCAGTAAATTCCAGTGGTGTTTCTGAGAGATATGTGTGAGGGTAGAGCGGCGGCCAGTGGACAGAAACCACCCCTTCCTGTTGCTTATTTAGGTTTACTGTAGTGCCCTGTGTCAGCCTCCGGTGCTCAAGGCTCTCCCCCAGCTTCATATGTTAAGGACACCCTTCCCAGAAGGGAGGGGCCTCTGTGGTTTGCTGCATGTAGGAAACTGTTATCACAGGGTCCCCCGTGGAGCTCACTTCCTCAGAGGGATTCAGCTTGTGAATCAAAGTAACTGGTGTGCATTGAGATGACACATCTCTCACTTTCCTGGTTCCTCTTGTCTTCAAGCAGTAGACTAATTGGAAAACGCAGTCAGGAAGGTGGAATTCACTTTAGTGTTTGGGGAAACCTATAAATTCTAACCTTTGTTTATAAAGCAAAGTCAAGCACCGGTCCTTCCTAATAGTGTGTATGTGGCTTTTCCTTCCACAAAACTCTACTGACTTTTGAGTGGAGCCCATCGAACCAGGACTTAATCACTTACATCCGTCTGTAGAAATTAATGCTGTCCCTTTAAGACCGTATGCTCTTTAGAAAGAAGGACTCAGGCTTCTCTGACTTCTTTCTTGCCTTGGACAACTGTTTAATGAACATCTATTGAGTACCAAGTGTCCTCTGAGTGTTTGAACAACAGCAGTCTCAAACAAAAGTCCAGGCCCTTTGAGAACCAATAGTCTGGTGAAGTTGAGAACTAACTAACAAATGAGAAGTTTCAGCTGTTGTAGGGACTTGGAAGGTTTGTTTGTACTGTGGGGAGTATCTGATAATGTGCTTCTATTTATTCAGGAGAGTCAATAAGAGCTCCACAAGGACTTTGTGACTGACTGAACCAAGATGAATGAATGAGGAAGAATTGGCTAGAAATTACTGAGTCCTGGAGATGATTTCTTTAATGTCCTTTTGATCTGAAATGTTCCCTTCTTATACACTCCCATGCTAACCCTAAACTTACCTTCACAATAGCAACTGCATTTTATAGTTCTATATTTATCCAGTAAGGATCTGTTTTTTTATCCCCGGACTTGTGGCTGTGTGGCTGAGGCCATATCGTTTGTTCACCACAGGAGTCCATGTACCTGTCTTAGTATCTGGTACAACTCAGTGTTCAAGAACTGTCTGCATCTCCCACCCGGACCCTGGTCTTACAGTAAAGCTAGGGGGTATGTGTATCCTCCCTCAAGGTTGACTGGAAATAGAAATTAATTGAAAGGACACCGAAAACAAAACCAGAAAAACAAGACAGAATTCAGGGTGGGTTTGTGACAGAGAAGCCAGGGAGGACCGTGGACCCAGGACTGAGTAGATACTGGTTAGAACAGCAACATATCAACTATCTAGAAAAGAGGGAGAGATAATGAGAGGGTTTGCTCATTTGTCTTGTTTGAAGGCAATTTTTAAGGATTTATATATTATTAATTCTTATTCTTCCTACTATTGTGTGCATGTGGCATGTGTGTTTGTTCACACATGTCTGCATGCAACAGCATTCCATGGGGATCAGAGGTCATCTTTTGGAAGTCAGCTCTCTTCTTCCACTATGAGTTCCAGAGATAGAACTCTGGTCCTTGAGTGTGTCCAACAGTGCCCCACCACCACCTGCTAAGCCTTCTCTCCCACTCATTTGAGGGAAATCTGTTCCATTTAAAAAATGCATTTAAAATAGTTTCCGAAGCTTAATAGTAGGTATTGATTTTGACAATTATTTTCTCATGAGAAATAAAAGAAATGTATAAGTAAATACTGTCTTAAAATAGGAATCGAAGTGTGTTAGAGAAACAAATAAGATGTTAAATTACTATGGAGGAAGGGAGAGGAAAAAGGAGACAGAGCTAGATACATGGTAAACCGCAGACCCAGAGAAGCAATCGCCAAGGCTTTGGATTGGTCACATTGAAGTGGATCTGACATCACTTCCGTGCTAAGGCTTGAACCCAGAGCCTCACACAGGCTAAGCATGAACTCTCCATAGTTATATTTAAAGGTCTGGTTTTCCTGTGGGTACTTTTCTCTATTTTATTCACTTTTTCATTATATCAAGTCTACGTTACTTTTATAATGAGGTAACAGGCTAACATCTTACACAGTTTACAGTTACTACAGGCAGAAAATAGTCACACGCTTCATGTGGATGGTTTAGGAGTTTTGTCGTAGGTGTCTGTTTAACTCGCTAAATTAGCTTATAGTTTGTATACTAGTTTCAAAACCATCTGAGAGTCTTTGTTTATGTGCTCACGTATTCCCTCCCGTGAACCTGTGTGCTCGAAGGGGGAGGAGACCTTTACGTTTGCCTTTCTAGGATAACTGTGGCAGTAAAACCCAGATGTCCTGACTTGTTTATTACCTTGACCTGTGTGCCTTTCTATTTTTATAACAGAGGCGTGAGCGTCAGCATGAATGGTCATATGTCTAACCACCCCAGTGGTTATGGAATCTACCCTTCTCAACTGAAGTAAGTCAAGAGGTGCATGTATAATTTGGAGTAGGGTTGAACGGGCTGGTGTTTGCTTGTTTTAGTGAGATGTTCTTATTCCAAAACACAGACTGGCCTAGAACTTTCTGCATAGTCTCGTCTAACCTTGATCCTTCCCTCCCAAGGGATAATGTCTCAATCATGTGTCACCAAGCCTAGCTAGTCTAAAACATATTTTTAATGAAAATACTGCTTATATTTCTTTATTCAACCCATTTCTCATTCATTCAGAAGTAGTCTCCTTTTATTACTAATCCATGTTATTATTAAAAACTATTATTTTCAAATGCCCAGAAAACACTAGCCCTAAGGAATCTGCCATGTAGTTGGGAGGTATTATAGGCTGGAATTTTATGTCTTACTATCTTTTGTCATCAAATATGAATCATACTTCAGAGCTTTGGATGCCTCTGGAACATTTTGTTGTTATTTGGATAGAGCTTGAGGAAGGTTCATCTCCATTTAGTGTATACTATATAGGTGTTTGCCATTGTGTACAACACAGAACAGAAACAAGATGCCTCAAGCCTCTTGATATCTGTTGAAACCACAGGCCTGTGTTGAGTGGCTGTTACCTTCTGTGGCAAGAACAACATGGTTTTCTCATCTCCACCATTGTGGCATTTCTTTCATTTGACATTTGTTTCCTACTATATGTAGGAAAATACATTTAATTTATTAAATAGGATGTAAGAGGTTTCATATTAAATAGGATGTAAGAGTATTCCTCTGTCCTGGGTGTGTCACATCAGGTGACTGCTCCATCATTCTCTACCCATTCTGGAGCTGGTTTCATACCTCCTTGTTACAAGCCTGATTACCTGCCAACCAGTGTCTTCTTATTTTTTTAGATTCTCCTTGAATGTCAATGTGGTAGGAAAATCTTATATATTCTGATTTTAAAAAATCATTCACTCCTTGATCGTGAATGTCATCTCTAATTAGTTTTATTCAGATATTGTCTTATCAACATTACCTACCCCTTCCTCCTATCCTCTCTGTTCTTCTAGGTTTTGAAGCTTAATAAATATTTACTGATTAAACTGAAACAAATTACTATTTATATCACATAACATATGCAAAAGAGACCAGTTATATGATAAAGCAGGTCAGATTTACCAATGATGTTTTATTTAGGTTAACTGTACAGTACTTGTGAAAATAGTATTTATTCTACTATAGCTGACATCACTGGGGGACTGTAACAACGTCACACAGAATGTGAGCAAGGGTTTGTATTCTAATAAGGTGGTGTGAAGCACTGTTGAGTTCTCTGCTGTAATCCTGACTTGCCATTGAGGATTGGCTGAGACTGGCACTGTGGTCCTTAGAGGCATCACCTGATTTATATTTCTGTTTATTCATGACTCACTTGAGCAGAAACTTGTTCCTATTGGCTCTTTCAGTTAGTATAAACTCAGTATGTTTTGAAGAAAACACTTAGTGCTTATGGTACATCAACATTTCAAACTCTTGGTTATGAATTCCATCACCTACTATGGACTTTAACTCATGACCATGAACATTTCTTTCTGTTTATTATTATTGCAGTGGTTACGGATCTTCACCACCCTACTCCCAGATGGACAGAGAACACAGCTCAAGAACAAGTGCAAAGGCCCTTTATGGTATGTACGGCTATGTGATGGGCGCTTATCTATGTCTAACTCCTTAGAAAGTTGCATTTTCAAGGTCACCGTTCAAGTGTATAACTGGCTATCGAGTTTAAAATGACAGAGCTAGCTAGGTAATGCCTGCTTTAGACTCTTTACAAAACCGAAGCTATGAACTCTCGCTTCTTCATATGTCCTGGAACTGTGGCTGAAAAGTACTGAGAGCTTTAAGAAGTTGAGTGCTTGGTGCTGAGGCCTCAAGTGGGATTCCCCCGGTGCTATTTGCAATCTGTGTGCTGCTGCCCTTTGTGGCCCACCTGGCTGATAACTGTGGGCTCCCAGGTGATGCACCTTTTCTGTATAGCTATTGATACTACTTAATGTGACTAGTTATCTGGATAGAATTTCTTTCTGGATTACGAACTAATCAGGCATTCTCTCTAATCCTTCTGAGACTACCAGTAACCTCTATAATTTGTCTTATACATGCATTGTTTCTGTTTTTGAGACAGAATCTCATATATCCCAGGTGGCTTTGACCTCACTAGGTAACAAATAATAAGCTTGAACTCCTGCCTCTACCTCCTGAGTCCTAACCTTTTCAGTCATATGGCACCATGTCCAGTTTATTCCTTGTGGGGATGGAAGCCAGGGATTTGTACATGCTCAACAAGCAGAACCACATCCTCATCCCTGCCTACTGTTATTTTTTTTATAGCTAAAACCTACTACAAGCTACTAAAAATAACATTGAAGACTCTTGAGGCATACACATAGAATTCACCTTCTTGGGAAGGTGATTGTTTCTAGAGGACGCGTATAGCCTTTCTTTGTTGTGTAACAGTAAACAATCAAGACAGGAACATAAGTCACAACAAGACAGTGACTAGAATTCCCATGGTCAAGTACAGTCCTACCACATAGTGACTGAATGACCTTGAGCAGGTAGCTTCACCTGCTTGTACCTCATTTTGCTCATCTTTACCAGGTTGCTATCTGGAAAGACTGTAATGAGAACTAAATAAATTAAACTGTTTCCAAAGCAGTGTAGGGGCAGACGACACTGTCAATACTTCCTGTTGTTAGGCTTATCATCATTGTTACTGTGCATAATAGGAAAAACAGCACTTTCTAAATTTGGGAACTATTATACATTACTAGGTTTATGAGTTTTGTGGTAAGACTCACCAATCCTAAAATTTTGTGATTTGTTTTGACCTATATAAGTGAGTAGACTTTACCACTCAAATCATACATTCATAAAATGGATTTAATTCCATATGTAGATGTGGTTTTCAATGCCTGTGGTAATGTCAGTAATGCTGTTTTTAATTTTCTCTATGTTATATTGAGACTTTCTTATTATTAACTTGGTTCTTTGACAGTTGCATAATACATGTACATAATGTATTCTGGTAGTTCCACCCCTTTTCTCTCTCTCCCATCTCTATCAACATCCTCCACATGCCCTAGATGTCCTTTTCCCAGGTCCATGTCTTTGGTTGCTTTGTTGAGTTTAACCAGAGTCAGTCATGTGCCCATTGAATTGGAACTATCCACTGGAGCCTGGCCTGGTCATCAGTGGGTATGCAATAGAAGGCAGTGACTCCGTATCTCCCCAGATTTATTGGGAGCCAGCAGTTTATCAGTGAGGGCTGAATTCCCCCAAGTTCCTCTTCCATCCACGCCAGACTGTTGACAGGCCCGCTCTTTTGCAGACTCAGTTCAGGCATTAGCAGTTGCTATGAGTCTGTGGTTGCAGCGGCCGTGTCTTTCACAGGAGATGGCATCTCACAGCACTTTTTCTCTGTCATCCACATCTTACATTCCTTCCTTTCGCTTTCCCATGACGTTCCCTGAACCTTAGAAGATGCGGCATAAATGTCTTATTTAAGGCTGAGCACTAGTCCACCCTTGCTCTCAGCACCTTGAGCTGCTGTGAGCCTATTCATTGAAAAGATTCTATGGTTTTTTTGAGAGTACCCTGTGTCTCTGGGTAAAAACCACATTGGGGCATTCTTACCACAGCTTAGTCACTTGTGGCTTGTATATAGAGGGTGCATTCAGCACCTACTTTTTTTGTGATAAATATGTGTTTAAAATAGGACCAGTAATGTCTGATCCCTGACTCTAACAGTCTTGTAGTGTGGAGACTGGCTTGAAGGATGAAATGTTTTTTGTAAGGATTAAACAATCCCTTCAACCTGTCGTTTCTAGACTTATATTTATTAAATCCATTGAGTATGCTGGATGATCATCATTCTCATCATCTCTGTTTCCATGAATTCCCTGAGTCAGTTCAAAGATAAATGACAGATTATCATTGCCAGTGTGAATTTTAGTAAGATAGATTATTAGGAACTATTTCTTAACACACATGACCACATATCCAAGTTGAACCAAGGGGATATGAATAACTGAACCACTTACACACACATGCACATACACACACACACACACACACACACACACACACACACACATTTATATGGAGAGAAAGAGAGAGAATACACAATGAGTTTAAAGCAATTTTCAAGTCTTCAAGCAGAGAGGAGCCCAGGAATGCATGGATTCACTTCTGAATTCTATTAGCTCTTAAAAGGCTCCCCATGCAGTAAGAGAAAGAACATTATCAAGCTCTCTTTATGAAGTCAGTGTTATTCTGATAATAAAATTGGAGAAGGACATAACAAAAATGGAACTGTAAATCAGTTTCCTTGATGAACATAGATCCAAAAATTCTCAGTAATATACTTGCAAAATAGAATTCAGCAACACAGTAAAAATATCTTAACCCATGGCCATGTTGGTCTCACTTACAAAATGCAAGGATGTTTCAGCATGTGTACACCAATAAACATAAATCATCACATACATAGAATTGGAGGAAATGCATAATTATACTGATAGGTACAGAATAAGCCATTAACAAAATCCACCAACATCATTCACAGTCAGATAAGGTAAGAGAAAAGAATGAAGGACATACATGCAAGAGGAAGGAGGCAAGGTGTCCTTTTATACTGAAAAGACCCCAATGCCTCTAATAGTAAATTCTTAGACCAGTAGGATACAAAAATCAATAATTGTTCTATACATCAATAATGAATATGCTAATAAATAAATTGGGAAAACAACCCCAGTCACAATGTCCTCACAAATAAAATTAAATAGCCAAGATCACTAAAGCAGGCAACTGAAAGACCTCTACAATGAGAACTTTGAAACACTGAAGAAAAACATTGAAGAAGACATTAGGAGGCATGAAGACATTCCATGTTCATGGATTGGCAGAATTACTGTTGGGAGCATAGCTGTGCTACCTAAAGCATCTTTGAATTCACTGCAATTCCCATCAAGACTCCAATGTCATTCTTCAAAGACATGGAAGAGATAATCCTACAATTCATATGGAAGCACCAAAGGCTCCAAGTAGATAAAGCAGTCCTGAGAGAAAAAAATCCAGCTAGAGATAATGGAATTCTTGAATTCAAATTATACTATAGAGCCATAGTAACAAAGTGAGACATGTGACCCAATGGAATAGGATAAAGGAACCAGAGGTAAATCCCACAGAGCTACAGTGATCTGATTCTCAACAAAGAAACCCAAAATATACATTGTAGGTAAGAAAAACCATACATCCATATATAGATGAAAAGGGTGGTAATAAAGGCTAACAAACTATTAATTAAATTTATTACTAAATATATTACAGATGTATTAATATATAAGGTAATATAAATATAGCAATAAAATATTAATTAAAGTCTAATAAAATATTCATGGGAAAATTTTTCAAGTCTTCTTGGATCCCAGAAAGTAGATATACTGGGATAACAGTTTTGCTTGGTGGAGTGTGGCCACCAGGGGTGTGGCTAACGGGTTTCATAAAGGACCTGAGCCTTGAACCATGCTCTGTAAAGTCCACCATAGTATTCTTCAGATATTGTAGGAGTGAGTGTGGATATTATAAAATCAATGTGAATCTCATATACACACCAAGAAGGTGGCTTCTATTTGACTTCTTCACCCCAGGCTTCCCTGTGCTTATTGGTCATGTATAGTCTATGTTCAGTAACTACTTGTAGAATGAATATAAAGAATTAATGAGCTGCCAGGAGCTTGGTGGTAGCTGGAGCGTACAAAGTAATGCATTCAGAAATCAGATGAGAAAAAATGAACACCCACCATGTCAAGAAGAATAATTCTAATTTGGGGAACAGAGTGGTGGCTCGGCAGGTACAGGGTGCCACTGCCACGCCTGAGGATCTGAGTTTGATCCTGGGGAATCTACATAAGTGACTGTAGAAAATGGGCTTCCATAGCTGTCCCCTGACTGTCCCCAGTGCCACCACTCCCCTTTGTGTACACAAGAACTTTTAAGGTTTAATAATGATGTGGACATTATTTCAAAATAGCAAGTGGCCTTCAATGTCTTTCATTCAATAGACAGGTGACTGTGTCTTGGGTTAGGTTGTGACAAAGCGAGTGAATCGGAAATTTCAGTAATATGAACAAAGTAGATGCCCTGGGACTGGAAAGGTGGCTCAGGGGTTAAGTGCACTTGCTGCTCTTACGGAGGACCTGGGTTCAATTCCCAGGACCCACATAGTGGCTCACAACTATTGCAGCTCCAAGAGATCTTCCTCTAGGCTCTGCAGACATGAAGCACGCATGTGGTACTGTTGTGTGACAAAACTTTTCCTGGGGAGACGCAGCACCCATGTCTATACACACCAGATAGGGAGCCTATGCCAGACCAAAGTACGGAAAACACCAAAGTCCAGCTTGGGGAACCATGAGTTTTATTGAGGTCACTTACAGAAATGTGAGTGACTGAGGTCATTTACAGAAGCAGAAATGACTCAAAGACAACTGTATCACCAAAGCCCATGCCAGCATGCTTGACGGTTTACCAAGGTGAGAACCTGGACCACACTGCACCGCCTGCAAGTGTTGAGTTGAGAAACACAAAACTCCATATCTAGGTTTATTTATTTATTAGTTAATGTGACATTTGTCTGTTCCTTGCATCCTTACATGAATGATAGCATCGCCTCTCAAGGAACACACCGTACATGAAGTGTCATTTTCATGGGTTCTGGAGTCTTATGTCTCAGGCTTCATATCCCAGAGTGTCTCGGAGCTTTATAAATCTCAGTGGCCTGGTGAACCCTAGTCTAGTACAGGGGAATTTTTAGGGTGGGGCCACAAGTAGCCTTAAAGCCCGTGGTCATAGGCAGCCAAGGATCAGAACCACTGCTAGAGGAAATGCTGATTTTCTGTGGCTTCCTCTTGATAACTTCATCAAAAGCCTCCATCCACGCTTCTTTTTTCTCGCTGTTCCAAAGCTTTGTAAGGTTTCCGTCTTAGGGTCCAGAGTACTATTTACCACTGAACCTAGAAGTGCATAGGATTCTCATCAAAAGAGACACTATAATTGACTTTCAGGTGTGTCCTTTCAAAATTGGCTATTAAAATGTTAATAGTGAACTTTATCTCTTGACTTTATGTCCCCAGAATTATTTTCTTTCTAAATCATTTTTATGACATTAATATATTTTTAGGGTCCTTTGAAGGTACTTTTCTGTGTCATACATCTTATTCATTGTGAAGCATGGTTAAAAAAAACCAAAAGAAAACCAAAAAAGCCAGTCAGAAATATTAGGGATGATAAGTCACTGTCTAGTGGTCAGAGGGAAGAGTTGCCATAACGCTAATTATTTTCTGCTCCTCTAAATTGTGTGTTCCTGGAGTCGAGATATGCTGTGTTCTAACACCTGAGGGATAAACTTTCTCCTCCTCCTCCTCCTCCTCCTCCTCCTCCTCCTCCTCCTTTTCCTCTTCCTCCTCCTCCTCTTCCTCCTCCTCCTCTTCCTCCTTCTCCTCCTCCTCTTCCCCCTCCTCCCCCTTCTTTATAACAAAAACCTCATACAATATTTTGGCCCTTCACCTGTGTTTGCCAATCATTTTATCTGGAAGACCCAGTCAAGCATTTGAACATCCTGGAGCCACCATATCACCAAGTCATCAGGTACCATGGCAACCGCAGCCATTTCCTCTGCTATCCACAGGTCAAATCAGAGGAAGATAACTCTCCTGCTCTGAGGCTATGCTGGAGAGTTGAGTGAGAAGCTGATGTACCTGTGATTTTGAAGTAGTACTCTTGCCAGATGTCTTCATGAGTTATGCATCGTGTCCCATGTGTCTCAGGGGTTTCCCAAGAACAGCTGTGCACCTGTTAGTGACTCACACTGAACCTCAGCTCATAGAGAAGTTCTTTGCTTCATTTGTGAGGTTTAGTTATGGGGGAAGGGATGCGCTTCAGAGTGCTGGGGAAAACTGTAGGTGAAGCCAGCTCGCTCTTTTGACCACATTATTTTGGTAGGAACAGATGGAGCATACTTCTTCAGATCGTCATCCAAGCAAAAAAAGAAAGGTAGCCAAGGTTGAACTGTGTGGTGCGTGTGCTTTCACTGAATCATTTTAATGCTGCAAAAGCAAAACCAGAATAGGCCGCATCAATGTGAACGGTGTCAGGAGGCGCGTGGGGGATTTCCCAGGCAAACATGAACAGGAGGATCCTTGTTTCCATATGTTTGCAAATCAATTGGTCATCGTGATTTTAAAAATATTAGATTCTAATGTTTAGGGTCTTAATATGTAATTTATACTTTTCTGCTTGATCTTCCTTTAATTTTTACAGGCACTTTCAGTGTAGGGGCACCTAAGAGTAGAAAGAAACATGTTTACAGTTAGAAAATGGTGGCTGATGGGGAAGCAAACACATACCTATTGTCTAGCTATAGATATACATATATTTTATATATGAATATATATCATAAACATGTCATATATGACATATCTATGTATCTATATATATGTATATATATTTATACACACACATATATATATGGATAGATACATATATGACATATTTCCCACATACACACTCATACATACACAACCTAAGACAAACGTTTAGGTTTGCCAAAGCTGTAAGGCTTTAGGGTGCTTTACATTTAACTTGTTTACCCCAGTATTTTACAGTAAATTCTCAAAGACCTGGATTATTAATAATCTTACCTAAATCTAGTTCCTAACTTAGGGATAAACTCAAAGCTAGATTTAGAATCATGGACTCACCTGATGACACACTAGGTCCTTTCCATCCAAGAATTCTGCCTTAGAAGAAATAAAGCAATCCTGAATTTCCAAATCAGTTCCTTGATTGAAAATTAACAAATACCAAATATTGATGATATTTTAATTTTTTTTTGCTTTTGCAGTATCTTAAAAAGAAAGGTTTTTTTTTTTTCCTGCCTGTTGAGTAGTTGGATGCAGCCACTGCCTCGTTTTCCCTTCTAGTTTGCCTCTGTAATTTTGAGTCTCTCGTTTGTGTGTTCTCTTGATGTGTGACAGTGGTTAATATTTGTGACAGTTCTCGTGTTTGGGTCAGTTTGGAGTCTCATCTGACATTGTCCCCCATTTTAGATGCTGTAAAAGGAGATGGCCCTCCTGGTGCCTGTTTGGCAGGGCCATCCCCATCATATAATACGGTACCTATGACTGTATCTGCTAAAAGGAGATGGCCCTCCTGGTGCTGTTTTGGCAGGGCCATCCCCATCATACAATACGGTACCTAGACTGTATCTACCCTTGTGTTTGACCTAAGTGCAGCAACAGATGACATTTGCAAGTGTTTTTAAAAATATTTTTTATCAACAGTAGATTCCTGATTAATAAAACCTATACGCGAGATGACTTTATTCTCTTAGAACACTTACAGTGTAGGGGCTGGAGGGGTAGCTTTGTGGTTAAGTGTGTGTATTCTTCTTGTGGATGGCCTGAGTTCAGTTCCCAGCACCTACAATGGACAGCTCACAGCTAACTGCCTGTACTCCAGCTGGAAGACCCAGTTCCCTCCCCTCCCCCTCCTCGGGCTCCTCCTCCTACATGCATGTATTCTTACACACATATCTGCACACACACAATTTTTAAAAAAATCTTTAAAACATGGGGAAATTTATAATCTTGATATTTGAAGCCCCGAGGATTTAAGTTGGCTCCAAAGGTTCCTGTGTACCATTAGTTTTTCTCGTGACCTTAGGCCTGCCTGTGAATAGTGAGTGTTTTCAGACCCAATTCACAGTGGGGACTTGAAAGCTACTGCATTCATATGTGGGATAGACTTGCTTCAGGGGTGCCATGTGACACCAGTATATGAGCTCAAGTCTATGAGTCGCTAAATAATGGCTTCTCCAAACTTACCTTTCAGAGCAAAGGAAGAACTATGCCCGAGACAGTATCAGCAGTGTATCGGACGTGTCCCAGTACCGAGTCGAAGTAAGACCATTTCCTCTTGCCAATACGTATTATTGTGACTCTTAAGGGACATAAAATCTGTGTTGCATTTCACTTAAATAGGATGTGTTTTAAGTTCTGTGGGTCTTCCCTTAAGATGTTTTCTTTCTTTTGTGAAACTGAGATTTTACATATAAAGCTATGTGAGAGTTTGTGTTTCAAAATAAATAGATTGAAGTAATAACTTCTTCACTGGCCATTGTTAGCCCAATTAAAACAGGAGAAAGGCTTCTGTTTCACACTGACATTAAACGGTGATACACCAAGCAGCTCAGGTTTATATTTAGTTTTATCTGGTGTCATCACTAGCTTTCATTAAACCCTAGTTTCTTTTTTAGTTCCGAAGACATTTGCTCATAATTGGAATCACAGTGACCCTGTTTATAGTGGAAAACATGTGAGCAGGGACGTCATCTTTAAATTGCTGCTTTCGGCTTGCTGCTCATCTCAAGCATGCTTCATTAAAACTAAACCACTTTGTTTCAGTAAAGTGGTTTCAGGAGAGGTTGTTAGAGACCAGAACTGTAGCTTCGGCTGCTGTCCAGGTTGTAGCTGCCACTGAAAATGCTACTTTTGTATAGCATTGAAATAGCTATCTGAGTAACTGGGGTGGGGGGGTCATTAATTTAAAGAAATACTGTTTATGTTTCACTGCTAAGAACTTGTCTTTATACCTAGCTGTTGTAACCCCACATATCTCAGCATGAGACAGGTTCAGGGGTCTTACAAATCAAGTAATTGTTTTCTGTGATCAATAAAAATGCCCACTCAAGTCCACCCTCTCAGTAGATAACTGAGGTTGTTGTAGTGTGCTGTGTTAAGCCTTTGGTTCTCTGCTAACTGATTTCTGTTATGCAAATTTTCCTCCTTTTGGAAAATACCTACAGAGACGGTTGTGCGTTCAAAGTTTTTCTTTTCTGTCCATTTTTTGCCGACCATAAGCACCTGACCACCTTTGTGCTGGACCGGAAGGATGCTATGATCACAGTTGATGACGGAATAAGAAAGCTGAAGTTGCTTGATGCCAAGGGCAAAGTGTGGACTCAAGATATGATCCTCCAAGTGGATGACCGGGCAGTGAGCCTGATTGACTTAGAATCAAAGGCAAGTCTGGGAAGCCGATGCCATCTTAATTCTTCAAGAATGCACCACAGATGCTAACATGTGCAGTCAGGATAGATTCTTGGAACACGAGTGACGGTTTGACGCTGTCAAATATTTACTCTCTTGATACAGAATGAATTGGAGAATTTTCCTCTAAACACAATCCAGCACTGCCAAGCAGTGGTGCACTCATGCAGCTATGATTCCATCCTTGCCTTGGTATGCAAAGAGCCAACGCAGAGCAAGCCGGACCTCCACCTTTTCCAGTGTGATGAGGTTAAGGTAAGAGTGGTTCAGCCTCCCATTAATTCTTGTGTGTGTGTGTGTGTGTGTGTGTGTGTGTGTGTGTGTGTGTGTGTGTGTGCATGTGAGTATATGTGTGTATGTGTGTGTGTGTGCACTTGTGTGTGTGTGTGTGTGTGTGTTCCCGTTCCCAGAGAGGTCAGAAGAGGGTGTCAGATCCCCAGGAGCTGGGATTATAATTGTGAGCTGCCTGATGTGGGTACTTGGTGCCTAGTTCCCATCCTTTGCAAGAACAGCAAGTGCTCCTAACTGCTGAGGCAAATCTCAGGTCCCCGTCCCTCACTCAGCCTTCAGAGCAATGTTCTGCAACTTTCAAAGGACACATCTTGGTCATACAGCTATTAGGGTTCTAAATTTTGAGAATGTGACGAGCAAAGCCAGTACCTAAGTATCTTCCTTAAATTTCCAGTCAGGTAAAGAAAAGAGGAAATTTGATTAATTATTTTGAAAACTCAAGATGTGGCATGATGGCCCCTACTAGTAATTCTACCACTCAGGAGGGTGAGGCAAAAAGATTGCTGCAAGTCAGAGGCCTGTTTGAAAGTATCAAACAAACATAGGTACATGTAGTTTATCTTGTTTACAAAGTGTACCTGGTATATGAAATTCTCCTCAGGGGCCCTCTGTTTATAATTCAAAAATAGATCATTAAAAATAATGCACTGTGCTTGCTTCTGTGGCACATATACTAAAAACCATACTGCATAGATAGACAATAAGTATCCTAGAATTCCATTTTCTTCCTTGTTAAACACCTCAGAGCTTGTATTGATTGTCTCAGTGAGATCCTTAGAATGTTCCATGGTATTGATATAAAACTTGCCCTTTAATTATATGTCTTGGAAAGCTGCTCAGCATTTAGAATCCGTAAGCGCAATGAGGAATAGCTGGGCAGAGTTAGCCATAATAATATGCTTGAGACCCCAAAATTTATATCTCACAGTCCACGTAATTTCTAAATGATTATAATTTATTGAACCTTCGAATTTATCTTCAACATTAGATATCTTCATTTTCTGAGTTGGTTTCTCTAAAAGAGAAATTACCTTCGGTTGATTGGCACCTGTCTTAGTATCTTGCCTGTTGCTGTTATAAAACACTGACCAAAATCAACTTAGGAGAGGAAAGGGTTGATTTGAGTTTATAGATCCAGGAGGACAGGAGTCTGTCCTGGTGGGTAGTCATGGCAACACACAGCAGATGTGGTGGCAAGAGCAGGGAGCAGAGAGAGGCAACTGGAAGTGATCATAGACTTTTAATCTCAAAGCTCTACCTCAGTGACTCACACCCCCCAGCAAGGCTGTGCTGCCTAGTTCTCCACTCAGCGCCCCCTGTGGGGACCCAGTGTTCAAATCCCAGGAATGGAGGGACATCTCTCAGTCTGGGTACCACTGTCTCCTCCCAGAGCACTGGCTTACTTGTGACTTTTATCTTGTAAAGAAATTTTAGACCAGCACAAGAAAACCACTTGATCTCATCAGTATTTTTTTTTGACATTAAACCATGACAGAGGCAGGTTATCTTTAACAGTATATTTCATAATTTTTCTAATTTCTATTTATTCTATAGATGATTATAAAAGTCTTACTCGAAAGAGCTGTGTTATTTAAGTAACTAGTAGTTTGAAATCCATCAGCTTTTTGGAATTCATGAATTATTTTAATGATTTTGAGGATTCAGATATATTAAAGCCAAAAATGTTCAAGTGGATATTTTGCTCTGAAAAAAAGTAAAATTTTATTTTTTTTAATTTTTATATTCATTTATTGAGGAGGGATATCACATATGGAGGTCAGAGGACGACTTGTAGGAACTGGTTATCACTTTCTACCATGTGAATCCCACTCAGGCCGTCAGGCTTGGCAGCAAGTGTCCTTAAACACTGAGCCATCTTGTTGGGCCAATTCAGAGACTTACAAACAAACGAAAAAATACTGAGTCAAAAGACATTTAAATGTTGTGTTTGTGTCCATGCTTTTGAGTATGATTTAAGTGTGAGTTACTGTCCTGAGTAAAGGCTCCAGACTTCAGCATCTGGGATATGAATGAAAGACATTCTTCTCTAGGGGACCTTGACAGTGATGGCTCCAAAAGGATTTTCTGGACAACACTCTGTACTCAGTATAGCTCAGACCACTAAAAATGAGGAAACCCACTCACCCTCTGTGCCACACTTCTTTCATGAGGCATACATTTCTTAATAATTTGAAAATACAAGTGCCTTGATACTGCAATGTAACTAGTCTGTGTTGTAGGACATCTTGTGGTAACACTTTATGAGTTTAAATTTTTATTATGGGACGCTACGTGGTACATTTGTCTCTATGAAAAATGGTAACATTTTTCATAGAAGTTCAAGGTTCTAGACATCTCCAGTTTTAATCCTCTATATAATAGAGGGCTTTGGCCTTAGTTGAACATCTGGAATGTAATTGGACTGGAATGTTCTAAGGAAGCGACACTGTACTGGGCTCCATTGCAGCATCACCTCACATCAAACACGAGCCAGGCCAGGCTATTCGGCCTAGTTTCCCTCAGAGAATTAACTAGAATGGAGAATAAACAAGACTGAGGAGACGGTTCAGGGGATGAAAGGCTCAATGCACAAGTCTAAGAACCGACGTTGAAATCCCCAGAACCTATATCAAGCCAGCTGTGGTGGTATGCGTCTATAATCTTCACACACCTCCAGGGAGATGGGATGCGGAGACAGGAGAATTACTCCAAGTTCAAGAGCAGCTGAATCAGCCTATGTAGGGGGTAGTCAACTAAGGGCCCTGCCTCAGGCAATGTGTGAGGTGAGAGACATCACCTGAGGTGGTCCTCTGACTTCTATATGTGTATCATGATCTTGAGGTCTCCCATCAGTTCTAAATTTTTATGCTCACCCGTGCTTACTGTAAAGAATACAGGACTCATATATGTGAGAAAAATATACATAATTACACAGAGCATACAAGCCCCAAAATAGAAGATGAGCAACATCCATATACAGTGATAATTACAGGCTACAGATAAATTTCATGACGAAGAAAAGTTAACACCTTATCTACAAGACTCACTTGAAATCCCAAGAAAATCTAATCGTTGGTCTTGTTGGAAAAATGTTGGAAAAGTTCGTTGTGGCAGATAATTAACTTTTACCTGACATGGAAAAATAAAGTGGTTATCAAAATGGATGCAATATAGAATTGAGATTCAGCCTGTGAATGCAGAGATTTTTCATAGCTCTGGCAAAACATGGAGCTGAGAAACCTATAAAGAGAAAAGGTCTGTTTTCCTAATGGCTTTGGAGGGTTCAGTCTGTGGGTATTGGGTACATTGCCTTGGGGCCTATGGTGGGAACGTCCATGGTAGTAGGAAGGGTGTGGTGGAATGCTGTTCACTTCACGGGAAACAGGAAGTGATAAGAGAAAGACGGGAAGTATCTGGCAATCCCAATATCATCTGTAAGAGCACAACCAATGTCTTCTCTTCTTTCCACCATCTCCCATTTGAAGGCTGGAACCTGGCCTTGAACACGTGTCCCTTCAGGGACACTGCAGACACTAATAGTATGAGTAGATCTTGCCTTAAGCTCTGGTGTCTCTCTCTGTAGTGCCTGGTGATTGTTTTGGTGAGTTATAGACTCCCCTGTGGAGGGAGAAAAAGGGAGGGATCCACCAGCCCTGCACATCCTCCCTTACATCCTTCTTCTCTGACAGGGCAGAGACACTCACCTGTGTCCTTTCTGCAGTTGCCTCTCTCTATTGGGCTCTTGGAGAGGAATGTTTAAGTAGAATCTGGACGTAGATTAACCTGAAAAAAGCAGTATTTGAGTTCCGCCATTATAAAATACACCATTGAAAACCAGAGTCACGTTTTTACCGTAGATGTTAAAAAGTCTTTCTATTTGTATTACACCAAGATACTTACTGATGCAAACTATGAATATAAATTATATTTTTTTCTGTCTTAATCTTTATACTAAAGCTCAGACAAGCCTATGGCCTTCTGGATAACTCTTCTCTCCTTTCAGGCAAACCTAATTAGTGAAGATATTGAAAGTGCAATCAGCGACAGTAAAGGTGGGAAACAGAAGCGGCGGCCCGAGACCCTGAGGTAAGAGCATCAGATGGCATTAGTGGATGGAATTGGATAGTATGCTTACTTTTATTTTTCTCCCGGAGGTGTAGAGAAATTATTTTCAATGGAGGTGAATTATTCCACTTTCTAAATTAGAACCTTTAACCTCAACTTATTCTCTGTCACTGCCTTGCCAGTCCATGTCCGCCCCTTCTTGTTTCTCCATGTGTCAACTTTGTCTCCCACACAGCTTCTCAAACATATGTAGATGTCCCAGAGAGTTATAAAAAAAATGTATGGTGTTTTAAGAGATGACCCAAGGTCTCCCCATTTGCCCACAAGCTTTTAAAATATCATGTGACCTGGAGAAAAATTCGATATAGTTTCGCAGGGATTTTGATTTTTCTGTATTTCTGCATCTCGGGAACTTACCAGCAACACAGTGGAGTTGGTTGGGGATTCTGATTTCCCTGACAGTTACTTCTGAGATTGAAGGGCAAATGGCACTGATGGAGAGAACCATTGTTAACAGACGTAACATTGGTAACAGCCCAGTTGGGTAATTTGTTTTTTATTTTTAGGATGATTGCTAAAGCAGATCCTGGCATCCCTCCTCCTCCCAGAGCTCCTGCGCCTGTGCCACCAGGGACTGTCACACAGGTGGACGTTAGGAGTCGAGTAGCAGCCTGGTCTGCCTGGGCAGCTGACCAGGGTGACTGTAAGTACCCAGACCTAACCCCTTCTGAGGGTCCGCTATGGTGTCATTCCTCCCTTCAAATCCCCATGTTGATTTGTACGTTAAAGTTCATTTTAAATAACTAATTCTTAGACATTATACAGTTAAGTCTTGGCTGCTGTTAAGGTTATTATCCCTGAAAATTCATGCCAGCCTTTTAACAGATACTCTATGAGGATTGCAGTTATCTCTGGCTGGCTCGTGTGATGTCTATGCGACTATTGCACTAGATGTCACATTGGTCACTGTAACTCATAGCTTCACCACTGGCAAGACTGTTTTCAACATTTCTTCCCCAACAACCTACATGGCACCTTCTGAAATGATACATTCTACAGGTAGGGAAGAAGCTTCCAGCTGGGTTTCTCTATGATGCCTTATGCTGAATTGTGTAGTGTCTTTAATGATAGGTACTTTTAATGTTGCGGGCTAAAAATTGAGACCTGAAGTAAGACCTGGCTCTGTCTTTCCATATGACCATAGAAGGTCATCTTTTAGTACTTTGGTCTCAACCGTAAAGTGGGCATAATGACCCCACAGGTTTCGGTGAATGATGAAGCCAGTGACGCTGTAATAAGGAGTGCTAATGACTCTTGCTTTAGGAATTACATAGTTTCTGCCAATTGTCTTTGCAAATAGAAAGATTAGATAACATGATTTTTGAAAGATAGATGTTTATAGTGATCTGTGCTTATTGTGAACCCAAGGTGAGTTTTGTTGATATTGTTTTGGTGGAGGGGGTCTGGATAGTTTTGTCCTTATTGTTGTTTTGTGTGAATGTGTTAGAGAGGTGTCAAAACTGAATTGACATAAAGAGATCCTGAATAGAGTTGTAGGAACGTATGTGAAATCTAATATAATTTTACAACAAAAGAATTTACACTGAGGTATCTCTGAACTCTTACTAGATTTTGTGTAAAATATTCCTGGCATTGCCATCTATTACAATTACAAGGAGATAGACTTCTAGCTTACTAATTGTTCAGGCAGAACTCAAGACATGGTATACAAAATTCTGTGTGAGTGCCAGAGGGTCTTAGTTGGGAATGTCCTAAAGGAGCCTCCCTCTGCCCCTCTGCTGCATCTGCTGCCTCTGTTTGCTCTGATTGCAGCCCCTTATAATTCTGAGGTGGAGTAACTCTGTCTTTCAAAAGTGAGTTTAGCAAAATGGTGGCAGTAGTAGCCAGGACCCCAAAATATTTTGGAAATAAGTATCTTCTTCTGCTCACTTTCCCCCAGACAATGTTGTGGGGTACCACAGAGACACCTGTTCCTCCTGTGAGTCAGTCTTCTGTGTAGCCCTGGAGGATGTTGTAGGGTACCACTGTGTAGACCAGGCTAGCCTTGTCACCCCTGCCTCAGCTTCCAGAGTGCTGTGATTGCAGGCAAGAGGCCCTACACTTGACCCCCTTTGGAGTTCCTAATGACGGTTTCAAGTTTAGTTCCCTGCCTTCCGAGGTACACTGTACCAAGCTAGCAGCAGCCATGTGTAAAACAGCAGCCAACTGGCAAGCTTTGTACATGCAGATTAATGAGCTTCAATAGTTATAGCTACAAATGTAGTTTCTTGCGGCTCAGTGATTCCTTTTTCTTTCGCATGTACTCCATGTCTGGGCAGTGTTAGCATAAAGGAGAGATTCCGAGTTTGCAGTATGTTTTGGCAGTCCTCTGCATTAAACCTCGTGAGTCATGATGATGTATCATGAGTTCTCCCCCTACTCCTTGTGATCTATTGCTCCTGCCCCAGCCATATGCCTTTGCGTTTAATGTACTCTGAAATCCATCGCACCAGCTGTCCACGTTACCATAGTGCTAACTGACTCACCTCAGGAAGGAATCTGTGATGGAGGTCTCATGATTAGCACTCACAGTGGAGCTTTCTTGACATTTTGAATGCCTCTGAGACGAGGATTCAGTATTTCTCTCAAGGCATATGATTTAAGACCAGTGAGCCAAAGGCTGTGGGTTTTGTGCTGACTTATAACAACCATTGAGGAATCACTGTACTCTTGGAACTGCAAAGATTTTATTGTAGTCACAGGGGTGAATGTGGGGGGACTAGCACCCCAGGCTGTGAAGACAGCCCAGTTGGTCCAGCTTGCTGCACCAGCACGAGGAGCTGAATCGCATTCCCAGTGTCCAGGTAAAAAAGCCAGGAACGTTAGTGAGTGTCTATAATCCCAGCTCAGAGAGGAGACAGACAAGAGATTCCCAAGGCTTGCTGGACAGCCAGACTAGCTCCAGGAAGGAGGGGGGCTAACCAGGCAGGCCAAACCGCCAGCTATGCCCAGTCCTCCTGGTCACTGGTGGCAAGGATGTACCTCAGCCCACGAGTATCATTTTGACTTGTTTGTTCCAGAGAGCTCAGCAACTGGAATTCCTTTTTCATTGTCTCTCGTTTTCATTTCTATATTGATATTATCTTAACAAGCACAGAAAGCCTTAACCATTCTGCTTTCTTTTCAGTTGAGAAGCCCCGGCAGTACCACGAGCAAGAAGAGACCCCGGAGATGATGGCAGCCCGGATTGACAGGGATGTGGTGAGTGCCACCTGAATCGGGTTTAGCTCATCCTCATCGGTGATTCTGCTTTGTGTGGAGGAGGGGGAGCAAAGGTGCTGAGATGGAAAGGATTGGCAAAAATGGCTGCAAAATTATATTTTCTCCCCTCAGTGTCCAGGATGTCCCTTGAATTTTCCCTTAACCACTTTTCCTTCCTCGATAGTATTTAGCTAGATGTTATCTCCTATAGAGTACTGATAACTTGGCCAGTTTACACAGGAAATGAACCTGAGTTACCAAGGGGCATGGTCTGGTTTTGCTTTTTATCACGGTTTGTGATTCATAGTTGAGGTGTCCTTTTAATGTTTGTTCGTTCAGTTTATTAAGATATTTTAGGACTGGGGAGATGGCTCAGTGGCTTCAGGGCTTGCATCAAAAGCTTAAAGACTGGACTTCATATCCCTAGAATGGATGGGTGTCAGCAGCCCATCACTTTGTAGAAGAATATCTAGGTTTCATTACCAGCTCTACCTTATTGTCAGAGTTGGGAGAAGAACAGGGTGATTCAGGACATCAGAACTGGGTCTGCACAGGTACACACGTGTGCACACACACCTACATGCAAGGGAAGCCACATGCACCTGTTCACACATGTGCCCACTCACATGCAAATGTGGACACACACACACACACACACACACACACACACACACACCATACCCTTGTGAAAATAAAAGCATTTTAGAATACCTTAAAAGGAAAAGTTGAGTGATAATTGAAAGTATAAATATGAACATATTAATGTTTTATAAAGAGGAACTCTGTACTTACTGTCACTTCTTTAGAGCAATCAATTTTCAGAGTTCATTGACAGTTAATGGCTATGTCCATTATATTTTAAATGTGTGATTTATTTACCTTTTAAACTATACATATTCCCAGGTTCTTCTGAAAAAAAAATCACTGAAAGGAGTCTGAAATTCAGAATTAAAATTTAAAAGACTTTCATTATTTTAAAAAATAAAGGCATATTGGAATCAGGAATGTACATAGTTTCTTTTTAAGATTTATTTATTTATTGTATTTATATGTGAGTACACTGTAGTTGGTCTTCAGACACTTCAGAAGAGAGCCTCCTATCACAGATGGTTGTGAGCCACCATGTGGTTGCTAGGAATTGAACTCAGGATCTCTAGAAGAGTAGTCAGTGCTCTTACCCCCTGAGCCATCTCTCCAACCCAAGATTTCCATTCTTAAGTGTGTGTGTGTGTGTGTGTGTGTGTGCGCGCAGGTGCCTGAATCCAGCGTCAGACTGCTTGGGGCTTGAGTTGTGGGTGATTGTGAGCTGCCCAACCTAGATGCTGGGACCTGATGTCTACAGAAGCATCTATCTCTCTTTCCCAGTCTTAGAATTTAATTTTTATATCATAATATATTATAGTGAAATGCTTATCAAGTCCTTCTTAATAGTCTTATAGTATGAAGAGCCCTTCGTTTTAGACTAGAGAAAGCTAAAAGCTTAAAGCGGAGTGTAAAAGATAATCACAGTGGTCTCTGGCGTGCGTCTGTTTGCTCGCCCTGCTCTGCTGTGCACGTCTCCATGCCTCTTGGTGTGTGGGGGCTGTGGGTCGTCAGGTTCTTGTGGCATTCTATAATGGGTGTGCAGTAACTTTGTCAGAGCCTTGACAGGACAAATAATTGCAAAACAAAAATACCTGGTGCTCTTCAAACAAAATGTTTC